CCCCCCCCCCTCCCCGAACCTCAGGCAGCCGGTGGTTCGCCCGGCCCGCCTTGATCGACCTGGGGCGGGGACAGGGGGGGATATTGGTGGAAGTGATGTTTCGCGGCCCAGCTCTCCTGCTCCCCATCAAACCTCATCCACTCCCTCGCCCGCCTCGTTTTCTCGCTCTCCCACACACACACACACACACACACGGCATTCTCCCTACTTCTCTACGCATTCCTCTCGCGCCTCCTGCGCGGCCCCTCTTCGTACATCCCAGTTAGCGAGAGAGCGATAGAGAAAGGAACGCACAGCCTGCTCCTCTCTCTCCCCCTCCCCCTGCCCCCCTTCCCCAATGCCGCCGGTGACTCCCCCACCCTCGAACTGGCGGCGGACGGCCTTGTCGCTGTACGCCCACCCTGCACGGCAGAGCCATAGCACCCTGCTTGGGTGCTCCAAGCGGCGACACTACGCCTCGACTGGCCGGGCACGGCAGATTGCTGCCGCTCTGCAGCTGGCCCACCCCTCGTCCGTGGCGATCGCGTCCGCCCCCGTGCATGCCCCTGGACCTGCTGTCGACTCGGCGCCCGTGGTCACACAGGGCTCATCCCTGGCAATCGACTTCCATGCTCGGGCCTCTTCGGCCGCGCCGCCGCCGGCCTACCATGAGGTGATGCTGGCCGTGGCCGACGCCGAAGACACCAAGACCGCACTCTTGGCGGAATCCGTGTGTCAGCCGGAATCGACCTCCAGCGCCTTGCAGCGCCTGGCCCAGCGGAATGAGGCGCTCCTCCAGCAGCACGCCCAGATCGCGGCCACCTCCCAGCCGCCGGTGCAACAGTCGCCACCTGTCCAATCTGCCCAGGCTGCCCGGGCTGCCCTCCAGCCCCCGGCCGCGCGAAGCCACCCTCCGTCCCGGGACCATGCCGAGGTGGACAATGGCCAGGCCTCGAAGCCTGCCCCGGCGCCTGACGCAGGCTCGGCCACCGGGTCAGCTGTGTTGCAGCGCCTGGCCCAGCGAAACCAGGCTCTGCTTCAGCAGCATGTCGAACTGGCCACTGAGCCGGCCAAGCTCCCGGCCCAGTCTCAAGCTCCGGCCCCGGGCCCGGCTCAATCCCAACTTCAGCCCCAGCCTCAGGCCACCCTGCAGCGCCTGGCCGAGAGAAATGACGCCCTCCTCCGGCAGAATGCCGAGGCAGCCGCAGCCAGCCACCTCCGGCCCAAGGTTGGATCGATCAAGCATCGCGTGGCCCAGTTTGAGGCGGCGGCCGAGGCATCCGCCGGGACGCGGCCGCCACGGGCCACCGGCGCCGACCCCGGCGCCCCCCCGGGCCCGGGTGATGGCCAGGTGACGCGCATTAATGCCCTCTTCGAGCGCCAGCGCCAGCTGCTGGAACAGCATGACCGCCTGGCCACCACGCGCGTAGACCGGATCAAGGGCAGCGCCTGGTATGTCCCCCCGCGGCCGGTGGACATCAGCAAGTTCCAGCTTCAGCAGCAGCAGCAACTCCACCACCAGCAGCAGCGGCTCCTGGCCCAGCAGCAGGCAGCCGTCGACATTGAGCTGAGCGATTGGGAGCAGTCCTTCTCGGCATCGACCGGCGCCGCCGAGGCCGCGGCCCCATCTGCGCAGATGGCCCGTCTTGCGGCCAAGGAGCGCTCCTTCGCCGCGGGGGGGGCCCACAGCGCCGGGCCCGGGGCGCCCCTTTCGCTGGAGGATCTGGACACGTCCGGAGCCCGGCCGGGGCCTGTCGCCGCTGGCGCCGCCCCCCGGCAGGGTGGTGGCCGTCTGCAGTTCCTCGGTCGGTCGGCCGGGCCGGCTGTGGACCTGCTGGCCTCCGTGTCCGAGGCCAATTCCCTGGACATTGACAGCTTCCCGGACGCGCGGGCCAACCACATCCCGGTCGCCGCGTGGGCCAATTCCCCGGCCATCAATCGCCGAGTGCAGGACCAGGACAATGCCGTGCTCGATGCCCTCTTCTCCCGAAGCACCGATGCCAGTGCCTCGGCCGACCCGCTGGCCGGCTCCGGCTTCGAGGCCATGACCCCCTCCCGGGTGCAGCCGGTGGACATCCGCGCCATGATGGACTGAAGATGCATCTATGTCTGTCGCTGGGCGCGTGCAGGCATGAGCAGGCGGGGGTGTTCCTCACGCCATCGCCTTGCCCCCCTCGCATGCGCCCTTCCCCCTTTGCTCCGGCCCCTGCGCCTGCCCCCCTTCCTCTGTACCATAGCCCTTTCTGGGCACCCTCCCCCCCCCCCCCCTTGCCCGCCTTTCCTTGAAAAAGGGAGGCGAAATGTAGCCCCTCTCCTGTTTCAGAACGGATGCACGTGACGCCCGCATCATGCCTCTCACCCCTCCTCACACCGCGCTGGAATGAGGTGTAAATTGTGCGGGCGGGTCCGAGACGCGTATTTTGTTTGGGACTCTTTGCTGGGCCCGGGTGTGGGCCGCCCTTTTCTGTGGTCCTTTTTCCCTGGAGACTCCCGCGGTCCTGGCCGCTCCCCAGGCTGGGGGGTTGTTGGTTCGAGGGGTGGGGGGGGGGGGGGGGGGGGGGGGGGGGGGGTAGTGTGGCTCGCTGCTTCGGGTCGTTCCGGCTGTGTGGGGTCGCTCGCTGGGTCGGGGGAGCTGCGCTCGGCCGGGAGGGGGGGGGGGTGGCGCGGGGGGGGGGGTGGGGGTGGGGGGGGGGGGGGGGGGGGGGGGGGGGGGGGGGGCGGGGGGGAGCGAGATCTTCCCATGTATTTTTGCGCCGTCACTCTCTGGCAGATGAGGGGGGGGGGGGGGGTGCCCTGGGAAGGGGCCAGATCGACGGTAAAAGATGATGTTGACCATTGGCGTGGGCAGAAAAAGGGGCATCCCGCACGCCGAGAGGATGGGACACCGGAGGGGGGGCGGGGGAAGGCGAAGAACACTCGCGCAGCAGCATGGAGCGCCCGTCGGCCAGGGGGCCTCGCCACAGGATGAACGGCAAGATCGCCGGGCACTGGGGTGCGCCAGCGTCAAACGTGAGTGGGCGAGTGAGGAGGGGGGGGGGCAACTCTGAAGGGCTACCGCACCACCCAGCCAAGGGTCCGGGTGCCCGGGGCATGCCTCCTCTCCATTCCCTCGGGACCTTCCCCTCCTTTTTGCCCCCCCCCCCCCCTCCTGTCCCCTCTCTTCACTCGCCCATACGCACATACGCGCGGACACCGGCATGCTGATCTGCCGGAAACCGCTGCTGGCGGCCCTCCTCTTGGGCGCGGTCCTTCTCGCGGCGGCCGCGCGGGCGCGGCCAGACGCCACCCATGCCGCCACTCCCTGGGCCTCCGCCACCCAATACGACGGGGATCTGGTCAAGCGTGGCCGCGTCCAGCCCACGACCCCTCTGCTGCGTCTGGATCTCGACACCCGAGTCCACTCGGCCGGTAGCACCCCGGAGTGCAGCCGATTGAACCTCGGCCAGTGCGTTCTCACTCGCCGGAAACAAAAGAAGGGGGCTGCTTTCTTCTTCCTCCGCCTCCCCCCACCGCACGCCCTCTCTCGCCGCTTCGGGCCAGCTCACTCTGCTCCTGTTGCCCGCCCCCTTCCCACGCTGTGTCAAGGTTTTTCTGCGACGACTTTGAGGCCACCTGCTCGCCAGCGGGCATCCGGAAAGGTACCTCACGCCACATGGGCGCGCGCGCGCGCGCGCCTGCATCCTGGCTCTCCTTCTTGCTCCTTCTCTCCTTTGAAATCCCCACTGTGATTAACCACCCCACTCGTATCCATCGCCCCTCCTCCCCCTCCCCCCCTCCCCTGCCCTCCCGGCCACCACCCACCTGGCCCAGTCCACTGCACAGCACTCGATGGGGTGACGTGCTCCGGCCCGCGGACGTTCTCCCTCGAGTCCCCCTGTCAGCTCAAGTGCGCGGGCGCTTGCCCTGCTGCCCTCCCCCCCCCTGTGCTCCTTTTGCGTCCTCCGGTCGGCGACTTACATTCCCTGTCTCCCCCCTCTCCCCCGGGACGATGTAGCGGCCCCTCAAATTACCGCTTCTCCACGGCGGTCATCCTGTCGCTGACGTTCGGCTGGCTGGGCGTGGACCGCTTCTACCTCGGCTACAACTTCTACGGCATGGTCAAGCTCTTGACTTTCGGCGGCATGGGGCTTCTCTGGCTCGCGGATTTCATCTGGATCTCGAGTCAGGTGTGTGTTTTTTTCCTCCTTTTTTTCTTCTTTTTCCCTTTCGGCCATGATCGAGGGAGGGCCTCCTCTTTCTTGCTCCCCACTCACCTGCCCCACCTCGGCGGCCACTCCCCTCGGAACCATTGCGCCCAGGCCCTGGGCCCGGCCAATGGCGAGCCCTATCGCGTGCTGACGTATGGGCCTCGCACGCGGCCGCTGCTGGTGACCAGTACACCGGTACCGACCCTGGGCGAACGCCTGGCCACCGGTGGAAGTCTCATGCAGTCGGCGTGGAGCCCGGCGGCCACTTCGGCCCTGCCACCAGCCTCGGCCGATACCAGCCCCGCCGTGGTGGCCGGCGGCCAGGATCCGGCCCCGGCGGCCGGGGATCTGGCGGCCGCCGAGGCCGAATATCTCGGCCCCTCGGCCGCCTCTCTTGCCGGCATCCTGGCCGGGCTGGCCGACACGCCGGATCTGACCACGGTCGCACGGGCCTCGCTCCCCGGCGGCAGTGGCCAGCTCCCCCGGGAGGCCGTCTTCCAATTTGACTCGCGCCGGCGCGGCACGAAGACCCGGACATTCGTTTTCGACGGGGATCTCTGAGCGGGGACATATTCTTGCGCGCCCCGCGTTCCTCTTCTCGGGTCTGCCTTTCTTCCCCCTCATCCTCCGCCCTCTTCCCCGTGTTGTCGGGCGAAAGATCCTCCGCCCCCCCCCCCCTCTCTTCTCAGCTGTTCTGGTGCACCCAATAACATAAACATACACGTATGCACCCACACCCCGGCGCCCACCTCCTGGTTGCTCCAGACCACTAGAAACAAATGCGCCGAGAGAGAGAGAGAGAGAGAGAGAGAGAGAGAGAGAGAGAGAGCGGGAGAGGGAGGGAAAGAGACCCACGACTCGAGCGTACACCTTGGAGATGGAGGTTGTTTTTTTTTCCCCTCGAAAAAGGGACAAAGGAACAGGCAAGGGGGAAAAGGGGGCGTGTGGGAGAAACAAAGAGAAGGGGGGGGGGGAGGTGGGAGGCAGGTGCGCGCACGTGCACATGCTCACCCTCCCGCCGGAGACAAAATCCCCCCCCTCATCAGAGGTCCGACTCGGAGGAGGCAGTCCGCGGCTCGGGAGGCCCGGTCGCGGCGGGAGCGGCCGCGGCCGCGGCCGCGGCCACAGGCACAACCGGCGGAGGGGGCCCGGATGGCACATCGTCCAGATCCGGCGTCGGCAGGCCGGACACCGTACCCGAGGCGACATACTCATCGGCGGTGATGATATACGGGATGAGTCCCTCGCGCAGGCGGCGCAGGCCATCCCGCATCTGATCCTGGTACACCTGCTGGTCGGCCTTCACCAGGCCCTGGTTGACATTGAGGGCGGTGGTGCAGCTCCCCAGCAGGGCCACAAAGGCCGCCGACAGGGCGTTCACATCCTCCACCGAGTGGGCCGTGATGACCTCCGGCTTCATGAAGGAGGCGGCGAACTCCAGCGGCCCGGCATTGACCTGCGGCAAAACCGACCCCTGGAGCTGGAGCTGCATCTGCACCGCGTCCCGGCGGTTGGTGGCCTCGGCCAGGAAGGTGGCCTGCTTGCGCAGGGCCATGGTGGCCACCTGGATGGGCAGCAGCTCCACCTGCTCACGGTGGATGACCCGCAGCCGGCGCTTTATGTACGGGAAGTGCCGCTCGGTGGTGAGGATCGTCTGGCGGAGGTGCTGCTCGGAGGTGGCCCCGCGGGCCTTGCCCGACAGGGTGAAGGGAGTCTCATAGAAGAAGCGGCAGACATTGGTGTAGCGCTCGAAGTTCGAGCGCCGGGACTGCTCCTCCGGCGGGAAGTACGGCTCCACGAAGGTCACCTGCAGGTAGGCCTTGTCCGGCTCCAGGCCGGCCTTGTCGACCGTGGCCTCGGGGATGACCTCCACCTCCACGCCGAAGATGCGCTCGTACGAGGTCTTCAATGTCTGCGACAGCTCGGCCAGGCGGACCAGGCGCTTCTCGCGCACGATGAACTCCCGTCCGGCCAGGTCCCCGAATGCCTGGCCAAAGTGATTGAGCATGTAGTATGACGGGGCCAGCTGCGAGCCGCGCTGGAGCTGCTCACACAGGGAAGCCATGTCCTGCGAGGACTGCTGGTGCAGGGTGATCAGGCGGTTGTACCGACGCGTCTTCTCGTGGATGGGGAACAGCAACTTGGGCACATTGATCAGCGCCTCGTAGCAGCGCTCCTTCCGCAAGAACCGAATGGCGATCTCAATCTGCTTGATGTAGCTGGTGTCCGTGAAGAGCGAACTGCCGGTGGTCAGGACCTGCTCCATTTCGGAGGCAGCCCCGGCGCCCGGGCCGCCGGTCACCCCGGGGCCCCCGCCGGTCACCGTGTCGGCCCCGGCCGCCGGGCTGATGTTGGGCGAAATCCGGATGTACGCCTCCATGTCCTGGATGACGCCGAAGTCCGCGGCCCGGGGCAGATGCCGGGCCACGATGGCCGCCGCATGCAGCTGGCTCAGGGCCGCTTCGTAGAAGAGCTCCTCGCGCATGTTCAGCTGGAAGAGGCGCTCCAGCCAGTGCAGCTGCATGTCCGGCACCGCGGCATACGACTGCTGCAGCCGGCAGTACATGTCGGCCAGGGCATCCGGATCGCGCGAATGCTGCTCCTGCAGCATGGCCACCGAGTCGCGCGAAATGTGGAACAGCTTGGTCACCACATCATGCACGAAGCCCGGCAACTTGGCCAGGGCCGAGGCCGGGCCGGAGGACCCCCCGGCCCCGGTGCCGGACGCGCCATCGGCCCCGGGCGAGGAGGTGGCATGCACCGCCGGATCGACGGCCGCATACTGCAGGATCGTGGCAAAGGCCTTGCGGATGTACTGCGCATCGCGAAGCTCCAGCCGCGACAGGGCCACCGTGGCCTGCAGCCCGACACGGGCCACATTCCGATAGCCGGTGGCCTCGAACCCCAGCCGCAGCATCAGGTACAGCAAGGCCGAGGCATACTGCCGGACCGGGGTCTGCGTCGAGGCGCAGTACCGCATGACGATGCAGCAAATGTCCGCGCTGTAGGGGGTCCCCTCCTGGAAGATGGCATCCCGGAAGCGGAAGATGAAGGACTTCAGCGCCACCAGCTGCAGGCGGATCACCCGGTCCGAGGAGTGCAGGCTCAGCATGGCCGACAGCAGCTCGAAGATGGGGGCCAGGCGCGGGTGAAGCAGCCGCACCGGCGTGTCGAGGGCCGTCTCGGTGAGGGCCGCATGCGACCCGCCGGCCCCGACACCGGGCTCAGCCCGCGAGGCATCCGCCAGGGAGGCATACTCCGAGGCCAGGAACCAGGCTGCCGGCCGGGAGGACACCACCGCCAGCAGGATGTCCAGCGTGATGGACTGGACTTCCATGGCCAGCACCGCGCGAAGCTTCGGCTCGGCCACCAGCTCCGCCAGGTGCCGGCCATTGCCGCCGGGCAGGCCGCCGGATGAGGACGGCCGCGACCCGGGCCCAGAGCCGCCAGGGCTGCCGGTGCTCAGGCGCTGCCCGCCGGCGGCCATGCGCGCGCCGATGGAGCTGCTCCGGCTGCGCCGGCCAATGGTCCCGGCACCGGTGATGACCGGACCCCCGGCGGGCAGGTCCCCGCCAGCCGCCGGCGACCCGCCAAGGAAGGCCGCCGGCGCCGGGTTGATGACCGCATCCTCCGGCAGGAGGATCGACATGGACAGGCGCTTGCTGCTGGTGTTGCTGCCGGCCGCCGAGGAGGAGGAGGCATCCGACGGCGTGCCAGACCCGGACCCAAAGCCAAATGGCCCGGGAGAGGGAGGCCCACCGAAGCCGCCCACCGGCGAGGGGACCGGCGAAGCGCCATGCAGCCCGGCGGCCAGGTCGGCCGGGCTGAGACCGGCCACGGCGGCCGCCGCCGCGCCGGCCTCGCCCAGCAGAGCCGCCCGCTCGCGCGTGATGTGCCTCTGCCCCAGATACTGGAAGATGTGCGACGCGCAGGAGAGCGTGTCGAAGAAGGAGGCGAAGTCCGACCGCGAGCAGTGCTCGAACAGCCACTCCGTCAGGCAGTCCAGGTGCGTGTGCCGCAGGACCGTCATGAACACCAGCAGCAGGGCACGCGCCTCGGCCAGGGAGAAGTCATAGGCCGAGGAGCTCTCCGGGGCCAGGGCCGCGGAGTCGTGCTCGCCGAAGGCCGACTCGCCGTCGGCCACGGCGGCGTCCCTCTTGGCGGCGGCCGCGGCCGCGGCCGCGGCCGACGCCGCAGCCGCCGAAATCGGCCGCCTCGAGGAGGAGTCCGCCTTCGGTGGCGTATCCAACGAGGCACTGACCAGGGCCTTGCGCAGGGCCGGCGCACAGCGCACAATCCGCGGGATGATCGGGAAGAAGATGGCGCCCAGGCGGGCGCGCTTGTCGGCCGTGTCGAAGCGCGGGTCGGCGTCCAGCTTGCCGATGATGTCCCGCAGCACGAACACCGCATTGGACCGGGGCTCCTGCTGCTGGTGCTCCAGCATCAGGCCCACCTCGTGAATCAGCAGCCCAGCCAGGTAGTGCCGGCGCCAGAATTCATCCTGCAGGTCGTTGGTCCCGGGCGGGCTGCCGCCGGACAGCGAGTCCAGGGTGGGCGAGCCGGCCGCGGAGCCGCCATGGCCGGCGGTCACGGACGACAGGCCGGACATCAGGGCCGAGGCCACGCTCTGGGCCAGGCCCAGGGCGCCGTTGGCCAGCAGCGAGCCGGCCCCCGGCGACGCGGAGGAGGCCCCGGGCCCCGGGGCCGCGTCACTGATGGACCCGACCGAGCCCATGGACGCCATGGACCCGGCCCCGCGCAGGGGGAACTCCCGGCCCTCGGGGTAGAGCGGCGCCACGCCGCCCATCGGCCGGCGGAGGTAATCGCTGGTCGGCAGGTTGAGCGCCACGAAGTGCTCATGCGAGCAGACGATCTTCAGCATGTCGAACTTCAGCAGCAGCAGCGGGGCCGACTGGTTGTAGGAGATCCGCTGGCAGTGGAGCTCGGCAAAGCGGAAGACCGACCGCTTGTCCAGGAAGGAGGCCAGATCCCCAATGAAGTAGGAGAGGCTGGTGTTGAAGTCCCGCACCGCGGCATAGTTGGACTTGTAGTCCTTCAGCAGGTGGGCGATCATGGCGTCGAACAGCTGGTTCAGCTGGTGCGTGAATGTCAGCGGCAGGCCGCGCGGCGCCTGGCCGGTCACCGCGGCCGCCGAGGTCCAGCCCACCTCATCATGCAGGTACTGCAGGACGCTCTTGATGCACACGTCAAACAGGAACCACGCATACCGGAGCAGGTGGTTCCGATGGTCGCGGCTGAGGAACCCGGGATCGGTCAGGGCCCGGAGCAGCAAATCCACCACCACCTGGAAGAGCTCCGCCTGGTCGGGCTGCGCATCCAGCAGCGTCGGCGAGGGGGCCGTCGGCGAGGAAGGCGAGCTGGCCGCCGCCGCCGCCTGGGCCATGGTCCGGTTGTGAACCCGGTACCGGATGTAAGACACCAAGTCCGGATGGCGCCACGCATGGGCCGGCGCCGCGGCGTGGCTCGGGCCATGGGAGTGGGCCCCATGCGCATTCCCGGCGCCCGTGGCTCCGCCACTGCTCAGGGTCGACAAGACATCGAGCAGCGCACCGAGGGCCGCGGCCGGGATGGCGGCCGTCGGCCCGGAGGCGGCGGCCGCCGCCGCCGCACCCCCGAACCCCGGGGCCGATGTACACGTCAGCAGGTTCAACAGCGAATCCAACACCACCGAGGAGTATTGGGCCAGCACCGGCCGGGACACCTTGGCCAGGCCGCGCAGGGCGTCCACCAGCCGGGTCACCGACTCCGGCTGGGCGGCCACAAAGTCCAGCGCGCTGAAGAACCGGTCCAGCGCGCGGTCCTGTGTGTAGATGGACGACACGAGGCGCGTGCGCAGGGTGAACACCGGCCGGCGGCTTTCCAGCCACTTGTGGTCGGCCCCCTCGGCATCGTAGGGCGTCGAGCTGTTGATCTCGGTGGCCACCGGTAGGTGGTACTCCCCGTCCGGGATGATGGCCCCATCACGGCGCAGGTGCAGCCACGAATAGCCCAGCAGGTGCTCCGAGCGCAGGGTCTTGCGCGGCTTGCAGCCAATGTGGTAGAAGGTGAAGAGGCAATGGTACTCATTGGCTGCCGACAGGAGATTCAGCGGCAGGGCCACCTTGAATTCGTCGAAGAACTGCGGCGCCTTCTCGTGGAAGGACACCGCCGAGTAGACCTCGCTGACGAAGGACTGCCCCGGGGCCCGGCCGAAGAGGGCCTTCAGGGCATTGGACCCGGGGGCCGCCGTCGGCGAGGAGGACCCGCCGACCGAGGTCGGCACGAACTGCATGCGGATGGCGATGTTCCGGGCGTTGTCCCGGCCGCCGGTCCACCGGCTCATATTGACCATTTGCGGGTACACGTACAGGAGGTTGACGAACTCCATGTGCTGGCGCCCGGATTGGCTGGTGGTGAATTCGCCCACCTCGCGCACGATCTTGAGGGGGTTGACGTCGGCGTAGGGCTGCAGTCGGGAGGGAGGAGGAGGGAGGGAGGGAGGAGGAGGGAGGGAGGAAGGAAGGAGGGAGGGGGGAGGAGGAGAAGAGAAAGAGAAGAAGAAGGAGAAGGAGAAGGAGAAGGAGAAAGAGAAGGAGAAGAAGAAAGAGAAGGAGAAGGAAAAGAAGAAAGAGAAGAAGAAAGAGAATGAGAATGAGAAAGAGAATGAGAATGAGAAAGGAGCGACAAACAGGTGTCAGAAGCAAAAGGAGAACAGAGTAGCAAAACCAGCTGAGGCAAAGGGACACCAAAAAAAAGACGCCCACACACACCTTCACCGGGGCCAACGAGGGGGTCAGGGAGTTGGGCACCTGCACCATGGCATCCACCTCGCGCATGTGGAACTGCAACACACCGGACACGGTGCGGCGGTTGCGCGCCGAGGCGCGCTTGGAGCTGGAGGAGACGGCGGCGGCGGCGGCCGCGACCGCGGCCGCACCGCTGGCCACCGGGGCCCCGGTGGTCGGGCACTGGCCACTGGTCGAAACGAACTGCGACAGATAGGAGAAGATCTCCTCATCGGCGCACCGGCTGTCCTCATAGCGGAAGAGCCCACGCATGGACAGACGGTCGGTCCCCTCGAGCAGGTCGCAGCTGGACGTCGGGGCGATGGCCGGCTGCCCGCCGGACAGCGAGGGGTCCGACAGGTCCGACATGCTGGACTGGATGGTGGTGAACTGACTGCCGGAGGTGGCCGAGGAGGACCGCGGGAGGCTGCTGCCCGAGCCGGACGCCGCATCCGACGTGGAGGACGCCGAAGAGGCCAGCTGACTGCCCCCGGCATGGGTGAGGCCAAAGTTCAGGGACAGATCCGACCCGATGCCCGGGAAGGCCGGCGACGCGGCGCCCGCCGGGTGGGGCACCGCCTCGGCCGAGAGACCGGTCTCGGTGGACAGCAGACGCATGGCGCCCCAGGCGTAGGGCTGCCGGAAGCGCCCCAGCCGAGTGCACAGGTTCTCCACCTGCTCCACGGTCGGGGCCAGGCTGGACTTGGCATTGGGAGCATACCGGTCGTAGATGGGCTCGATGTCCCCCTCCAGGACCTTGTCCACGCGCAGGACCAGGAAAATGTCCATGCTGGGCTGGGTCAGCTCGAACATGGCCCGGCGAGACCGACAGGCCGGGTCATCCTCCTCCGGCAGGAAGAGCCCCGACGAGCTGTCCGCCAGCGACATGTTGGAGGAGGAGACCCCGGCGCCCGAGGCCGGCGTCACGGACGACCCGCCCACCTGGCGCTCGCCCTGCGACTGCTGGTCCAGGTTCAGCTGGATCCCCTGGCGCAGGCGCCGCATGATGGACTCGGAATTGGTGTGGAAGTGCAGGACCTCGGACACGCGCTGGCGCTTGGCAATGTCCACCAGCATCAGCGACCCGAACCAGGGCTCCGGCGTGGGGCCCATGTCCAGGGCAAACACCTCGATCAGGAAGCGCCGGCCCACCTGCGTGCCGAAAGGCTCGCCCACCGGGCGCGGCACGTGGATCACCTCCGAGGAGGGGGCCGTCGAGCTCAGGGGCGCCGCCGTGCCGGTGTCCCCGGGCCCGGCCGTGAAGGCCGGCGATTCCAGCATCCGATATGTGGGGAAGACCAGCTGCCCGTAGTTGACCACCCGGACGCCGGTGTCGCCGGAGGCCGTGGCCGACAGGAGGGACTTCAGCGACATGGCCGACGAGTAGTCGGCCCGGCTGCGCGATGCCAGCAGCGAGTTCTCGCCCTCGCCGGGCACGGCGATCGACACATCCTCCGTCGAGCCGATGCGCAGCTTGGGCAGGCCGCCGGGGCCCGTCGGGTCGGCGGAGCCCCCGGCCGCAAGATCATGGCCACTGTCATCGATGCCGGCACTGCCGCCGGTCTCGGAGAGCATCTCAAACAGCAGGCGATCCGCCTCCGAGGGGTCAAGGCGATCGGCCGGCGGCCGGCGGGTCGGCCGCGATGACAGGGTGGCCGACCGCCGGAGGGACGACCCGCCGCCGGTGTTGATGACCGTGCTCAGCAGATCGCCACCGCTTCCGGGGCCGGCGCCGGCGCCGGAAGCGGAGGAGGAGGAGGAGGAAGACCCGCCGGAGCCGGGCCGGCCGGGGGACTGTGCCCCGCCGGGGCTCAGCCCGGCCGTGCGCGACAGCGTGCCGTACGTCGAGCCGGGGCGGTTGCGCGAGCCAGTGGCCGCAGGGGCGGGAGCCTCTGAGGTGGGCGTTAGACATTGAAGCCGGGAGGAGCAGGAGCACCGGAGGGGAGTGTGTGTGTGTGTGTGTGGAAGGACCGAGCAAACGCACCCTCATCAGGGAGCAAATCAATCTCGAAGCCACCTACTGTCAGACTCTCCAGGAACTCGATCTTCTCGGTGGGGCTGGCACGGAGCGCGACACGAAGGGGCCGGAAGCCGGGGGGGGGGGGGGGGACAGAGGGAAAGGGAGGAACGGACGTCAACAACATGAACCGCGTGTGACGAGGAAAAGTTACGAAGCAGGAGAAACAGCGGGGGGGGGGGGAGATACGCACTCGGTCGGGCCATAGGGCGATGGGTAGTGTGAGAGGTGCTCATACTGCCGGGCGAGGACGGTCCAATCGCGAGTGAAGAAGTCGAAGAGACCGCGGACATAGAGGGAGACGGCATTGGGACCGAGTGACGCCAGGAAGGAGGACTGGGAAGAGAGCTCGGACGAGCGTTTGGAGATCTGCCATTGCGTCACCGGCAGCGAGGGCGGGGGGCAGGAAGAGGGACAAGCACATGAGGTCAGTGGGGGGGCGCCAGCCGGCATGTGATGAGCCGGGCAGAGCGAGGCCCAGGCCACAAGGGGGAGGAGGCGAGAGGAAAGGGCCGACGAAAGGGCGAGGCGGCGCACCGACGATGGGAGGGACACCGAAGGGATGGGCAGGCGGACGGTGCGCTGGAAGCGCTCCGGGCGGTAATACGCGATGTTGTCCTCGGGGAAGACAAGGATCGCGCGGGCGGGGTCTTCGGCAATCAGCTGTGGTCGGGGCGCAAGACGAGGGGCCGGAAGTCAGGGACCGGGCCATGGGAACGGGGCAGCAGCGAGTGACAAGGGCGCGGGAGCAAGTGACATCCCCTCCCGGTGCCAGGGCGCACCTTGGACTTGATCATGTACACCGACTCGAAGTCCATTGGCTCGACGTAGTGCAGCTGAGGCGGTGGCGAGGGCGAGGGCGGTGGTGGTGACGGCACAGCCGGGGGGGGGG